TGGTTGGGGTTCTAGTACCTTGTGGATTGGCAAGTATGTCTGACCAAAAAGAAAAAAAAAATATAGGGAATGCTTGGCCTTTCGTTCATCTGAGAATTACACCTTTTCCAAGAAAAGCTAAATGGCTCATTCATGCTTTCGTTTCTCTTCCTCCAGGCTGGTTTCCTGAGGATATTTCTTCTCTAGGCCGGCGTGTTTTCTTTCTTTCTTCTTTCTTTTTAAATAGGTTGCAGTAAGAGGAGAATTTTAGACTTCAATTGGATGAATCTTGGTTTAGAGTCTGTTATGAAAACGGGCACCATTCCCATCATCTCATCTGTTACGGAGGGAAAACAGCTCGCACATGAATAGCGTCCACTCCGTGGCCTCTGCTGACCAGCTCCCCCACGGCGGGACTCGGATCCACATGGGGTCCCTCAGCGCCGTCTCTGAGCAGGGCTCACTAATAGGCACCATCCGGGAACTGAGCTGTTATTTTTTCCTTTCTTTCTGCATCACTTTTATCATCAAGAGAGGTGGAAACTTTCACATGTCAAGGGCTTTCTGCACAGGAAACTCTAGTACGGCCTTCACACACCCTGAATTCTCCAGAGGGGAAGTCATGGAGTGACCCGGAAAACTTGAGCAGAGGAACAAAGCTCCTTGGCCGGAAGGCATCCATCTGGGGCTTCCAGCGGGAAACTGGGAGATATATATATATATACCACCCGCAAACCTGGGGCTTGCTCCAGACCACCTCCATCCTTGAAACCTATTTTCAAAATAGAAGATGTCATGAACTGCAGACCTCTGGTCTAAGATCTCCCACCCTGAACCATGCAATAAAGTTAAACGCAGGGAAGAAAAATACTTTGTTTGGCTCACCTGGAAGACTTAGGCCACAGAGAACTCGGCAGGCCAAAGTAAAAGTCTCTTAGAAAACCAAAGGGGCTCGTCAACAAAGGCAACCTTGCCGTGCAAGAAAATGTACCATTTCCAAAACGGCAACAAAATTGGTACCCGTTTTCTCAAAGTGGTAAACCAGGCAGGGTTGTAGAAAGGGTATTTTGACCTTTATTCACAAAGGAATAAAAGTTCCTGGTGGGTGAGGAGCATGCAAGTGAAAGCCGTGTGGGATGTGGAGGACCTCAGGAAGAACAGACTCCAGGCTGTCGGGAGCTTGTCGACCTGGGCTGTGGACAGGGAGGTCATTGTTCTCTAGGAGCCTCCACGCAGCTGAGGATTAGGCAATCTGCACAAACCATGGGCATCCTTTTACCAGAGTGTGTGGTAAAGGTTCCCTTACCTGAAAATATATGATGATGAACTACGTGACTTATCAAAGAGCCGTTAGTTGGTCCTAGTGTGTGGTACACACCTATAACCCCTCCTAGAGATGCTGAGGCAAGAAGACCATGAATTCAAGAGAGCCTAGGATATATGAGAATCTGTCTTTAAAAACAAACAAGACAAGTCATTGGAGAGCACAGTGGCTTGACGGCACATGAAAAGAGGTGTAGGGCTAGCAAGAACCATTACAAAAGCATCCAGTGGGTTACAGGATGGAAGGACTGGTTCTTTGCATAGCATGGAATCCTCTGACCAACTGCCGTAGTCAGGGTCCCAGGGGGACACTGAGAGCCTACTCCAGAAGGTAACTAGGAGAAGTCAAGAATCAGTTTCTGGAAATAAAGTCAGCATTAAGAAAATCAAAACAGTGTTAAAGAGCTGTCAATACACACACACACACACACACACACACACACACACACACAGACTGAAGCAGTACTAGGGAACTCTGAATCCTTCACTGGAAATGATGAACTTCCTCCAGCTGATTCCTACCCCTAATGATGGTTACCTTTCCCAACTGAAAGGGTTGATTCCCATCATTGAGAAGACATGACTCTTACCATTGAGAGGGCTGACCCCAGTCCCATTAGAAGAACTGACTTCCACCATTGGAAGGACTCCCTACACTGCAGACTGTGGATTCTTCCTTTGGGAGGGCTCTGAACCTACCTCACCACCCCCCAAATCCATAAAAGCAAGAGTGTCACATTCTGGCCATCAGGAAAGCAGGGACTGGCCATCAGTATCTGGGACTCACCGTCTTGCTATCTATTCTTCTAACCCAGCTGAAGCTTGAAAACAAGAAAGTCATTGATGCCACAGAGTTCTCCACAAAAGCAGGAAGTGCAAATGGAAAGGGTCCAGTTCACAGCCTCCACACTCCCATCCAAACTTTCATTTCATTGCCTAAGCATAAGTTCCTGGGAAACCCCAGCCAACTCAGCCTTAATGGTGTCCCAAAGATCTCAGTCCCTGTACACTGTTTGCAAGAATAGATTTGTTAAGGATTGACCATGTTCATTAAAAAAAAGAAACTGCATATTTAACAGCAACTGTGAAATAAAAGGCAACATTTTTTTTTTACAATGTAAAACTATTCCTTAACAGGGTGTTTCCCTATGGTAGACTAATTCTTAATTTGTCCATTCTGCCTAAAGCCAGATAGCCAAGATACATACAAAATAAAACAGAGGCTGGGCAGTGGTGGTGCACATTTTTAATTCCAGTACTCAGGAAGCAGAGACAGGTGGATCTCTGTGAGTTCGAGGCCAACCTGGTCTACGGAGTGAGTTCCAGGACAGGCTCCAAAGCTGCAGACAAACGCTGTCCTGAAACCACATATACACCCCAAAAAATAAAAATAAGAATATAAATAAATAGAAATAGAATAGGCTAAAACCAATGCACTGAGAGTCTATGTATGCTTAGCTGGAACAAAGAAAAGTCAGGGGACTACAGCATTTTGAATTGCCTTTAATGCAAGAATACACTAACTGCGGCATTCTCCAAACTTCCCAGACCCCAGAACTAAGAGAGTAAGGCAACTGTTGCCAGGATTGCTCAGCAAGCTGTGCTCAACCACGGAAAGATGGCAGCAGTGGAAAGATGTGAGCCTTTTTTACCATGGGAGCTTTTTGGAGACCAGTGCTGTCTGGATTTGATGACAGGTAATGACATTAACTAATTAGAAAACTAATCACATTTTGGAGCAGTGGAAGCTGAGATCATGATAAGCATAATCAAATCCCTGACTTCAGGGCTTCGGGAATTGGAGGATAAGTTTCCTCCATGCACAAAGCTTGAACAGATGCCCTTCGGGGTCCTTTGTCTGGATTTTTAGGAGCTATGGAGCAGCGTTCGAACCTGTTGTGAACAGCAGCACCCAGTGTCTGGATGTGAGCTCAGCAAGCCAACTGTGCTCCAGGGTCTTCCTAATGAGTCCCAACTGACGGAGGATGTACCTTGCCTTTCTGCTCTCAGGAGCCCCCGTCAAGGTAAGCTTGTGACTCTACAACCCCTATATTTTCCTCTAAGCCTCTGAAGACCTGTAACCCCGACCCCCACCTCTGGCCCAGCCACACTGGATAATCTACAGCCCACTGGAGCCTCCCTTAATTGCTGTCCAATTCTTGCAAAGGTGAACACATCTATCCCATTTGCCTTGGCACATCGATGGGAGAATGCCGTGAATTCGTGTTTAATTGGTGTTGTAAACAGTCGTTAATATAAAGAGTATTGCTAGTATGGAGCCAAATTAAAGGCCCGTGTGTCTGACATATGAATATCAGTCGCTAAAAGGGAATTAGACACAATATTAAGATGAGAAGCTGGGTACTTTCCAGTGGTCTGGCAGCGGCCCCTCTGCCCATTCTGTATTTCCTTCTAAGGCCTGGGAAGAAAGGGGCCAGGCCTACTGCTTTCAGAGCCTCATCAGTCTTTATGGAGACAACAGAGCAGGGAGCTGTGCTGTAGTAATGCCCTGGTGGTTCTTCTCATCTGCTGATGTTTCCTAAGCACCAATGTAAGACTTAAAAGGAACTGAAATCCTGATGTAAACACTGTCCCTGTCCCCTGGAAAATGACGTACCTTCACTCTCGCATGCACGCCCATCCACTCACCCTACAATTAAAGCTGTTCTATGAGTTTACCCTCACTGTTCAGAAACCAAGCCATCACTTACGAAAAAGAGAAGCATTCAGAGACACGGGTTTCAATTAACTTTGCCATTGATTTTTGTGTAATTCTGGGGAGGCATGACTCTTTTGACAAAATGGGGACAGGGAACTCAACAGTTAATAGAGGTTCTGATGAGAGCAGCCAACCAGCATTGAGACATTTGCAATCCTGACCCTGCAAAAAAGGCAAAACCAGGAGGCAAGAGGATTGGAGGTGAGGCCTGTTGAACTGCCCCCAGCCTGAAAGTCTGTCATTCAGACAGAATGATATTGAAAAGTAAAGTGTGCCCGTGATTTATTTGTTTGTTTGGGTTGTTTAGTTTGGTTTGATTTGGCTTAATCTTTCTGCCTTTTGAGACAGGATTTTACAGTGTAGCCAGTGCTAGCTAGCCTCAAGCTCAAGATTTCCCTGCCTCTGTCTCCCCCGTGGTAGGATCACTGCTATGCACAGCCTTTTGTAGCTATACTTTTTCATCTTTAGGCAGTTCCTACTTTTGGTGATTTACATAACTGGGTTTTCTGGAAAACTGGTAAAGAAGATATATGCCCAACCTTGCTTTTCTAAACACTACAATTGTTTCATAGTTGTGAAATATCTATTAGTCACATGAGGTAGTACACACATGCACACATGTGCAAGCACACACACACACACACACACACACACACACACACACACACCATACCCAGAAGCACAGCAGAGGAAGTCTCTGATATGGATATAATGTTTAATGTGGTATGTCATGAGATGTCTACCAGAGGAAGAAGTCTCTATGAAATAGATTTAAACTAACAGTTTAATCAGATAAGTATGCAACATTCATCTCTATCCCCAGCAATATGATTGGGGGATAATGAATGAAGGGAAGGAGTTCTTTAGAATACATCTCTAAATGAGTAAATCCAGCTATCATCAGAGGTCTTTCCCCAGGGAGTGTTGTAGGACGTCTATTGCTGTGATAAAACACTATGACCAAAACTTGAGGGGGAAAGACTTTATTTCATCTTACAGCGTGCAGTCCATCATTCGGGGAGATCAGGGCAGAAAGTAAGGCAGGAACTAGGAGGCAGGAGTTGATACAGAGGCAAGTAAGGCTGGCCCACCATGCCTTGCTCTGCCTGCTTTCTTATAGTACCTAGGACCACCCATCCAGGGATGGCAGGCACAACCCACAATGGGATGGACTCTCCCATGGTGATCATCTATCCAAAAAATGCAACACAGGCTTGTCCCCTCGGTGAGGGCATTTTCCTCAACTAAAATTTCTTCTTCCAAAATGACTCCAGCTTGTGTCTAGTTGACATAAAACTAGCCAGCACAGGGAGGCAGGGGCAGGACCCACCTCAGGCTTCATCTTCATAGACAGGTAAACCTTTAGAGACAAGGAAAAAAACAAAAAGGGAAATGTGGGACAAGGAACTATTCAAAGTTTACTGAACTTTCCAATGAGGAATTCTGCCCTGGCACACACTTATCAAGTTTTGGAAGACCTGATGGTAGAGCAGGGGTTCCCTTCTCTAGGGGAGGGAGAAAGGAGTGATAAATAACCTTTCAAAGAAGTATAAGGAGAAAGAGTTAGAACCAAGATCCTCCTCAAATACAAATGCAAAAAGTGAATCCACTCAGTTTCAGGACTGCTCAAGTAAACCACACAAGGCAACCTGTTCCTAGCTGAATACCTTGAAATCATTCCTGGTAATGGAGCTCTGTCATGGGGATGCCGATATCACCTGTTGTCTCCAAGGAAACAGTAGGATTACTGAGGGGACTTCCTAGAAGTACCATTGCCCACAGTAGTACTTAGGAAACTGCTGTTTATACCTTTGTCTACTCATAAATCAGTCCTGATACAAGGGCTTTGTCCCTCACCACCATGTGGCATGGGTCCTGATTTTCCAGTCCTTCCAGAGATGTATGGGAAGATATGAAGTGACTTTCCTAGGATCTCATGGTGACTAGGTGTGGTGATTTGAATGGTATGAACTATCATCTTTACTGGATATGCCAACTTTTCTGTCCTTATAGAAACATAATGATTTAAATATGGAAAACAAAGACTTTTGCTATTTCCCTACTGTCATTCTTCATCATGAGCCAAATTAGTTTATCTTTAGATTGCAATTTGGTAGAGTTTCATTAAAATCACTAAATGAGTGCAGGTTTAGGGACAGAATTTGCAACAATCTCTGAAATGACCCTACGTGTACTTCTTTCATTTTGTGCCACATATTTATGTTCTGCAGCATTCTGGGCATTGGCAATCATAAAATAAAAATATCAGTCAATATTGAGAAACACTGGGAGTGTAAAATTATATTTCTTTATGATCTATTGTCAGTAAATGTTTAGTTTCTACACAATATATAAATAGATATAAAGATAGATGATAGATAGATAGACAGACAGACAGATAATAGATAGATAGAAGATAGATAGATACTGATAGAAATATATGTACCCGGAGACATATAAAAATTTATTTGGTAAAAACGTAGTCCCAAGTAGAAAAAGTTCAAGAAGCTGGATGCTTTCCTATATCAGCAGAAAATGTGTTTTGACTCCATGCTACATCCAGGAAATCCAGCACAGTCTCAGGCTCCTTCCATCATATCTTCAAAGTCTATGCCCTATGGCATCAGTTCGTCTCATTCTAGGGGCCAGTGACAAATGATCCAGCAGCCAGTTACTGCTGAGGCTGAAGCTTAGTGGACTTCTGCTGAGGCTGAAGCTTAGTGGACTGTCTCCAAAGGCTTATGTATTATAGGCTTGGCTCTTAGGGTGGTACCATTGGAGACTTAGGAGACCGGCCTAGTAGAAGATCGGTAGGTTTTTAAGGAGGTGACCTTGAAAGAGGTTGGGAGTTGTGAGACTCCAGCACCCTTCCTTTCTTCCCCTTGGCATCCTGGCTATGAGGCAAGGGCGCTGCTCTGCTCCACACTCCCACCATGCTCTGCTGCCTCTCCACAGGCCCAAATTGATCAGGTTCAGGAGATCCTGGAATAAAATCATCACCCAACATGAATATTTTTCTCTTTTTAAGTTGATTATCACACATGTTTATTACAGTAACAGAAAACTAAGACAGTTATGCCCTGATGCCGGGTCAGGGCCACATCAATAAAACACCCTTTCTTTGCTTCTCTTCTTCCAGCCACAACCATTGTGCCCCAAACCCTTCCTACTCTGGGACCAACTTCTCCATCAGAGAGGCAGCACATGAGGTTTTCCTCAAGCTCTACTTTTTTGGTAAGCTCAAACTAATATGTCTGAATCAGGAGGACCAGTGCACATGCTAACAATAGGTGTGATGATAAGAGCCATGATACAAGAATTCTCTGAGTTTACAGGGAGGAATTGTAAAAAGAGAGGCTGATACACCAAGAAAAATGTATGCCTTTTAAAAGACATGCATCTTCAGTAGTGGGATTTACACTGTGTCAAAATGTTTATTTCTATCCTGAAAAACATTTCCAATGGGGCAAAATTAGAATATCAAGGTGGACAAGATTAGGAAGTAAACAGAAAGTGTGGTAGTCTAAATGAGAATGACCTCTACAAGCTCCTAAGTTTGGATATTTGGTCACCAGTTGGTAGAATTGTTTTGAAGGGTTAGGAGTCATGGCTTCTTGGGACGTATGTCACTGGAGACAACTTTGGGGTTTCAAAAACCCACTCCACTCACAGTTAGCTCTCCCTGCCTGGTGCTTGAGGATCAGATTGAGCTCTCAGCTACTGTGGCAGCACCGTGCCTATCTGCCGCTGCTACGCTCCTTGCCACAATGGTCATAGACTCTACTATCCTGTGGAACCATGAGTCCCAAATTAAATGCTTTCTAAGTTGCCTTTGGTCATGATATTTTCCAACAGCAGTAAAGAAACTAACCAAGACAGAAGGGAATTCACTCTGCTGAGAGGCACTTACGCGGGCTGATGAACATGCCCCAGTTCCCTGTGGAGGGGTGAGTGCTATCTGCCACAACACTGGGTGTGGCTTTGCATATGCTCTCGATATGTGAAGCAACCTGCATTCCTCCAATGGGCAACGTGTCTTATGTCCTGGGCGGGTCTAGGAAGCAATATAGCATATCAACAAATCTGTGCAGGCTGTGGAGCTGTGCCTGCCTACCTAGGTGGGGAGAAGAGCCAATGGAGGAGCAGGGTAGAACTTTCTACTACAGCCCTCAGAGGTGACACGCGTGCAATTTTTCCATCAGGCAATTTTGTTGGTTCCTTTGTTTCAGAGACTCATGTAACTTTTAGGTTCTACAAAGAACAGGCAGACAATCACACCAAACATGAGGGAAATCAAAGGATAAATACCAAAAACAGAAGCTATCAATTACACGCCTGTCTTCTACCAACACAAGGAAAGTATAAAGTACACACTTTAGTGGAGTTTTTTTTTTTTTTTGAGTACTCTACTACTGTCTCCAAACTGGCAAGACAGAGGCGTGTAACCGAATGTGTATAGCCGCACAGCTGGGAGCACCTACCTCTGGCACAGCCATATTTAACAGGTGTTTATTGAGCGGCACAGCTGGATCATTTCTCTCGGAAAGATTCCCCTGGGCCGTGTATATTCAACCTCCCAAGCCTATGTTGTCTCTTTCCGTTCGTAGCTACAGTGATCAGTTCCCCACATTCCAGTGTTCTTTCTCTTTCCTCCTTTGGCTTGAACACACACAAAAGGGTGAAGACACACACACAAAATGAACAAAGTGTCAGGACAACATTTTTCACAATGGCAATGCATTGGGCCAGCATTTGCTACTGTGGCGAAGCACTTGAGATGGTCAACTTTAAAAGAGGGAAGGAAGGTTTGTGGTTTGAAAGTTTTCAGTCTATGACTGGCCAATCCTGCTGCTTTGGGCCTGCAACCTTATCCCTCAGATGACAGAAAGGATAGCATGATTTTATCTTTATAGATAACGTCAACCACCAATACAATAGCTTAAGCTGGCCAACCGCTTGGTACCCTGGCACCTCAGCACCCGGAATGCTGGGGTTTCAGATGTACACCACCACACTCAGCAAGGATAGCTACTGCTTGGCCCAGAAGCATAGCCGTACAATACTAACCTTAGAGCACTGACATCTTGATAAAGATGCCACCCGTCCACAAGTTCCTGTCATGTCCAGCTCTCCTTGGGTTGCAGACAGAGCAAATGTCTGGCATTATCTGTGTCTGCCACTGGGCTGAATAACCATGGCAGGACCTTCTCTCTAAATTGACTTCTTGCCCTAAATTTTTGTTTCCTTCTTTCTCCATGTCACTTCTTCTACTCATAAAATTACTGAGTCGCCAAGGTTTGGGAGCATTTTTTAGTGAATACCTTTATAAAAAAAAAATATGTATAAGAAGCAGGTAGCACAGAAACGGAACATTGCTTAGCGTGTGCTCAGTCCAGAATACCATCTCCAGAAAAACAACAAAGGACAAAAAGACAAAAATCTTGACACATCTATTTCTTCAGTTGTCTTTAATAGATACTGAACTAAAATGACCAATATTAGGAGCCAAAACTTTTTCTGTAAAGAGCCACTAAGTCTCTTAGGCCATACAGCCTCTGCCACAGCCACTTGGTGCTGCATGCACAAGCACCATAAACAACACAGAAAACAACGGGCAGGTCTAGATGCAACAGAACTTCATTAATTGGAATCAGCAATGGGAAAGACACATCCCAGGGACCCTTCTTGCCAACCCCTGGACCAGCACCAACTTGGAGGAAAAATCCTATCGGATGCATCATTTCTTCATCTGAGCGCTTCCTGTTGGAGAAGGGTCTTCATAAGGCTTGATGAAGGCTCATATCTAGGCACTCTGTCCCTCTCCCTCAACGTCCTTTGATAAGTGCCAGTTGGCAAGGGGACCGTCCTTCCACGGCAGTTATTCTGAAAGACAAAGCAGGGGTAGAGATTAAAGCCAGGCCCAGGTCTTTGTGCCGTGCTCAGCATATCAAGTGGTCCTCTTCAGATCGGACTGTGCTGGCTGTACACCTTCAGAAAGAGACAGAACCATTCTTTCGCTCAATAGTCTTCCGTGTGGGTGTGGGAGGGAAGGTTGACGAAAAGGCCCTTCTGAAAGGCCGGCTGAAAGGAAACCATTCTCCCTGGCACCACGGACGACTCTTTCTCATGTGAAGCTGCGTGATCCTTTTCATTTTACTCCTCAAGCACCCCGTGGCACCCATCCACGTATTAGGCTAATAACTGCATGAAGCTAGTTAAAAGGAACCCGAGCAATTATTTTAATTAGAGGAGAACAAAAATAACACTCCTGGCTTCTGTTTTAAGGGGGCAAGAAGGAAGTAGTCAGGGTTCAAAAAGATCCCACAAAATATTTTTTTGTGAAAGGAAAAATAATTAAGGCCAAATTTAGAATGTACTCGCAATAAATGGGCCAAATAAAATGAATGGCCCCACTGTGCAGCCAGGACCCATTCACAGAGAAGAGCTCCAGAAAGCTCATTTCTATGTGATACCATCTTGAGGACACAGCCAATTTTACACAGTGAAAGTGAATGTCTAGTAGACTTTAATGATCCTTGTGAATCCCTCACGCACCCTCTTAAAGAGTTTCTGTGTAAACTCTTTTATTAATAAGAGACAGGGGCAGGATCTGGCTCATTTTGCCTTTTAAGCAGGATTTTTTTGTTGTTTGAATTTTTAAATTGCTCTGGAGAAATCTACCTTCACAGAAGATCCCTGTTGCTAATCTGTTCTATACAAGGTGGCCTCCGTCACAAGAGGACTTTAATCGCTGGACTGCGCTCCACGACACAGGGAGAGCTCGGAGCCACAGATTTCCCCAGCCTTGGCCTCAAGCCTCAGTGGAGAGACTCTGCCGCTTTGACCTCTTCCTCACATCTGCCTCTTCTAAAAAGAAACAAAATGAAACTCAGAGCCGTCAGCTGGTTGCTATTGTTTGCGCTCTGTGGCTCTACAAATGCTAGCTGAGCACCTACCCACCCAACCCCCCCCCCCCCCCCCCCCACACACACACACACACACAGGCGCGAAGTTCCAGATTCCCACAGATCACCAGGGCCTGAGCTCCGCCGCACACAGCTCCATAGCCATTTACTCCTACAGACAAAAACATGGGCAGAAACAAGAGCCAGCCGCCCTGGCTCGATTGGGTCAGGGTGATCTAGCCTGAGCTTAATATTAAAGAGTGGATTACCCGAGAGACACACATGGATGTTTCAGGCCGAAAGATCAGCGCAAGCAGAAGCTGAGACACTCAGAACCCTGGTGCGCAGACAGAGCTAGCCCCAGTACAGTGAGTGAGTGATCCGACAAAACGAGAGGAGCCGAGAAAACAAGCTGCAAAGAGAAGCCCCAGCCAGGTGCTGTAGTTTGAAGACTGGTATCTCCTCCGGTTCCCACTCTATCCTAGGACAGTCGGTCTATTGTCGCTTGTAGCCTGGGCTATGAGTGGGACATCTGAATGCTAATCCATCCTTTCTCAGGCGTTCAACTGCTCACCCTTAGAAGGAAAACGGACCACCTCTTGTTTACCTCTTGTTGAAAAGCATGAGGTGAATGTTGAAGTTTGCTTGCTGTTGCTATAATTAACACCACGATCAAAAGCAGCTAAGGGGAGGAGAGGTTTTTATCTCACCTCACACATACAGGTCACAGTCCATCGCTGAGGAAAGCCAGAGCAGGAACGGAAGCAGAAACTGCAGAAGAATGCTGCGTGCTGGCCTCGCTCTCATGCTCATGGTTAGCCTGTTTATATAGCCAAGGTCCACCTGCCCAGGGATGGGGCCGGCCATGGTGCGCTGGTCCCTCCCACAGCAATCAGTTGAAATAATCCCTCACAGATATGGTCACAGGCCAATGGGATTGCAGCAAGACTTCAGTTAACGTTCCCTCTTCCCAGGTCACTCTAGGTTGTGTGAGTTGGCAATGGAAATTAATTAGGCTACTGTTTTTGCCAATAGTGAGTGTGATGTTGTAAAGAGGTGTGGCCTTTGGGTGGTGATGACATCATGGGCACCTCTACCTTCACGAAGGAGAATAGTGCCCTCATTTTACAGCAAGGCACAAACTGGCTCCCTGCACCTTCCACCATGTAAGAATTCCACCACAAGACACCATTTCTGCAGTCCAAATGGGACATTTGTTACTGTTGGCACTTTAATCTTGGGCTTCCCCCTCTCTCCCAGAACTATGAGCAATACATTTCTTCTGTTTATTAATTATCTAGGCCAGGGCCAAGAGCGTAGCTTAGAGGCCAAACTCTTGCCTGGCAGGCAGAAAATCCCAAGTTTCATCCTCATCAGCACAGAACAACAGATCATCCCATCTAAGGTCCGTGGTGGAGCAGCCCACACAGACCGCAATAACAGGTCACAGGTGAGCCTGTGCCAAGCCTACATTTGCTCTGTGAAACGATACAAACCACCTCACTGCTGGCAGCAAGGGGCTGAGATGGTCAACTGTTCAGTTCAGAGGCCAGGCTATCAGTGAAAACAGGGTTGGCCTAGGAAGAGAGGAGGTGAGAAAGGGGAGCTACGTGCCATAGGACTGGAGCAGGTTTTAAAAATAAGAAATCTCGCCGGGCGGTGGTGGTGCACACCTTTAATCCCAGCACTCGGGAGGCAGAGGCAGGCGGATCTCTGTGAGTTCGAGGCCAGCCTGGTCTACAAGAGCTAGTTCCAGGACAGGAACCAAAAGCTACAGAGAAACCCTGTCTCGAAAAATCAAAAAAAAGAAACAAAAAATAAGAAATCTCTCTCAGGAGCAATGCCTGATGGGGTCAAAAGCCAGAGTTAAAGCCAACTTTGAAGACTCACCCTGAGGACCACGGGCTTTAGCTGAGTGTCATCACTTGTCCCAGGAGGCTTTTTCTGTCATAGGTTTTCTTTTAAACCCAAATGGCTTTCAAAATCAAAATGGAGTAACTAATTCCAACCTAAGCTACATGAATATACTGTTGAGTGCCGTTCAGAAACTCAGCCAACAGTCCAATTCTATTTACTTTTTTTAAAATGTATTCATTTTTATTTTGTGTGCATTGGTGTTTTACCTACAAGCATGTCTGTATGAGTGTGTCGGATCCCTTGGCAATGGTGTTACAGACAGCTGTGAGCCGCCATGTGGACACTGGGACCGGAACCTGGGTCCTCTGGAAGAGCAGTCAATGCTCTTAACTGCTGAGCAGTCTCTCCAGCCCCCTGTTTACAAACCTTATGCAAAGCCAGAGCTTCCCGTTTCAAGTCTAAGCTAACACACACAGGAGATGAAAGGAGAGGAGGCTATGGTGAGTGTTCAGACCACTGCAGACAAGTTTAATCGCTCTGTTAGATTATCAGCCTTCTCAGGGGGTTCCCTGTGAATGAAATCTGAGAGAAATCCATCTCGCGGTTTACGAGCTGAACCTGATGACACAGTGGAGGAGACCCTTACGGCAAATGGCAGGCACACTTCATTCACAAGCGTCGTCACAAAAGTACACATTGCACGAATGAGGAAAACACGTGCAACAGTATGTAAAGGAAAACGCCACAGCCAGGTTGGGTTCTGTCCAAAATACCAGGCGGGTTAGCATTCGAAAGTCCATTGGAAAAAAAAGAATATGAGAGAGGCAGGGGCTGTGTTGAATACAAGATAGGATCTAGCAGGAGAGGGGCCGGAATGGGGCATAAAAATGTCTACAAGTCATTGTCTATGAGCATAAAATTGTCATGGAATTTAAAAATATGAGGGAAACCTACCGAATAATTTGTCACGCTGGTGGAAGGAAGAGAGAGGGGCACATCACTGTACACAGGAGAAGGGTTTCACTTAGGGTAAAGAGGTCAACATGAAGCGCTGGGGAAAAGGTCTTCCCAGTGAATGGAGCATAAGCGGATACTGGTAACAGAAGTCAACTTGACTGGTGTCATGGGCCAGGAATACAGCTGTGTGGTATGGAACATTTTGGCAGTCACAGAACCCTTGGGTTCAATCTCGGTTATAAGAAGAAGAAAAAAAAAAAGATGGGAGAACAAAAGGGAGAACGAAGAGGTAGGAAAGAATGGCGGCAGATGGGGAAACGAAGGTCATGTAGACTGTGGATTTAAACATAAAACATGAAACAGCAAACTTACTGGAAAATACCATGAGGGTGTTTTCACGGCCTTGGGATAAGAAAAGCTCTCTCGAGAGATAACAAAAGTGCCAACCAGAAAGAAATTAACCATCCACAGAAACCACAAAGAAAATGATAAGTACAGAAGACTGGTAGCATTCCCAACACCTGAACACGTAAAAGATTCGTATATAAAACGTATGCATATCTCCTACAAATCAGCAAGAAAAGATTATAAAAATAAGCAGTCTGGGTTGGTGCAGTGGCTCGGTAGGTAAGAGTGCTTGCCCCACAAGCATAAAAACCTGAATTTGAATCCCTAGCACCCATTCACATAAAAGCTGAGCACTATCTTCCATGCCTCAGTACAGCAGGGGCTAAGGCAGGTTGTTCCTGGAGACATGACCACACAACCAACCCAAAACAGTGAGCTTGAGGTTTGGTGAGACACCCTGTCTCAAGGGAACAAGGCAGACATGAATAGAAAGGGACACCCCGTATTCTCCTCTAGCTACCACATGCAGGTCCATGGGTACATAAACACGTGCACACACACACACACACACACACACACACACACACACACACCAAGCAGGCAACTTGAGAAGAATGTTCATAAAAGGGAATATTCAAATGCCCAGAACACCTAAAAATATGTCCAATTCTTTTAAGAATCCAGGATATTGCCTATCTGTGGTGGTGCCCACCTTTAATCCCAGGACTCAGGAGGTAGAAGCAGGCTGATCTCTGTGAGTCGGTCTACAGAGCAAGTTCCAGTATAGCCAAGGCTACACAAAGAAACCCTGTCTGG